ATTTGCAATAAGAAGAGAGAGAATGTAAACAAGGAGAGAGAAGATGATGGCGGAAAAGGAAGAAGATAAGGACCCTTTAGTAATTTTGTAATTAAATTATTCATATCTCCCACCCAATGCCATATCAATACCAAGCCATTCCATGGTAACGAAGTAACAAGGATATAGACGGAAAGATGACATTTGATGATGTCATTGTCAGCATAAGGGCTGGTTTGCTAGTTTTGTCAAGTAAAGGAGCTGATTTGCACTACTTTTAAATAAAAGAGCTGATATGTACTAGTTTTAAGTAGAGGGACTGATATACCACAATAATAAAAGTAGAGGGGTTCAATTGCACTTCTGCCTTAAGAAACTTGACCCAAGTTCGCAAAAACAAGTTAAAAATAAAAATAGAAACTTGTCAAATGAACAACAAACATCCCTACAATTTACAAAAAGTGATTCATTAACCATATTTGTTTACATTAGATAATAAATCCTATAATATTAAAATGAGTTAACAACAAATCTTAACGCATGTTAAAAAAGAAAAATAGAATTAACGTTTTGAGTTGAAGAATTTGACCAAAAGGGGCTACTTGTTTCATACTATTTTATCTGGATTTTATTATTATTATTATTATTATTTTGAATTTAAAGAATTGATTGGAAAAGGGGAAGTAGAACATGAGATTAGAACTCAGGTTAGATGTCCAAGCACACCATCTCAAGTGGATGGCCACTAGACCATTAAGTGTTGGACAAATTTAATTATTATTTTTTTAACGATGATGGGAAGTTGAAAGTCAGGTGGGGTGACCCAATTGCTCATTTTTGCAAGGAAAATGGATCTAAACGATCGTTATATTAAAGTTGAGTGGCCCAATGGAATCCCTAATTCCACCGGAACAATAGGACACAGGAGTATTATGATACTAACGGCTCAGATTTAAAAGAAGTATTTTTTATAAGGGCATAATTTATGGATGTATTAATTGTATTATTATATATTTTTATATTAATTTTTATGAAAAAATAAAATATTAATTTCATTTTCAACATTATATAACAAATGATTTTAATTAAATGGTTAACAAAATTAAAATTAATTTTTATTTTTTTAATAATTAAAAAATACAATTAATACATTATTAATACGAATGCTTTAAAAGCATATATTAAAAAAAGTACCTAAAAGAAAGAAAGTAGTGAAACTTTTTTTTTTTTTTCTTTATGAATACAGTTAACCTTAAAAATTTAATTTAAACTCAGTTTTGTACACCAATTTTTGCTGAGATAATACCTTCTTATTTTAAACAAAAATCAATTTAGGGAGAGTTTATTCTCACAAATTTGGAAGGCATAGAGTATGGTTTTACAAATTCAAGATCCATCGTCAACAAGCCTCCATATTCAAGTTGTACACTACATCCAAATCTTATGCTCCAACTTAAATGAGAGTGTTGAAATGTATTTACATTTCTGCTCAATTCAAGATTTGCCTGGGATGAAGATTGATGTCTTTAAATCAAGATTTCAATTTCTCTCGCTTGTTATTCTTATCCATATTTTTGTTAATGATAACCCCATTATAAACGTGAGATGTTACTTTGTAATTATTTTATTAACCTCGATCGTCTATTTTGTAGATGGAAGTCTCCACCAATAATAATTCATGCGATTAACCGGGTTAACCCCAAGCGGCCGGATGGAAATGGAGAGAATCTAGCCGTCTAATTTTTCCCTGCTGTATTCTTCAAACAAATTAACAATTGGAATCACAAATAACGTTGGATATTTTATGACCCGACATCATTGGCAAGAAAGAAAAAGGCCAGCATACTTTATCATCGTACGACACGACGATTGACATTTTGTGGCCTACACCAATATAGTCTAATCCTGACATTATGGGCAATATTACTGACTTCATCTCTAGCTCCTCTTATTTCCTCCTTTCTCAACAACTTCTATACAAAATGGCAAAGTCACCTGAAGAAGAGCATCCTAAGAAAGCCTTTGGCTGGGCAGCTAGGGACCAATCTGGTCATCTCTCCCCTTTCAACTTCTCTCGAAGGTGGTTTCTCTCAATCTCAATTACTTTTCTTCTTCTTCTTCTTCTTCTTCTTCTACTTGACAAAATTAATATGGAGTTAGTCATATGGTGATCTGTGTTTTTCAATTGTGGGTACATGTACAGAGCAACCGGGGAAGAAGATGTTAGATTCAAGGTGTTGTATTGCGGCATATGTCATTCAGACCTCCATTTCCTCAAGAATGATTGGGGAGCATCTGACTACCCTATTGTTCCTGGGTAAGAACTTTTCATCGATCTTAATATCGGTCTACACATATATATGATCTATGTAAAATTGATGAGATGCAACTTCATTAAGCAAAAAAGCATAATCATCTTTGACTGAAAAAAAAAAAAAAAAAAAAAAAAAAACTCTTGAAGATTGAATTTACTAGTAAATAAATGTTATTTTGTAAATCAAATTCATGATTTAAGTTTTAGACTCAATATTCAAATAAATTAATTTCTTTAAATGCATGAGATAAAAACATTAAAAACTGATTTGAAACACTTTAATAAAAAAATAATAATAAATAAATAAATAAATCTAGATTCAATAAATCTAGATTCCTATTGCATATTATATATCCATTTCTGAGTTTAATGTTAATTTGCGTAGCCGTTTGTAAGTTGGTAGTTATTTGTTTTCCTATGATTTGGACAACTGCACAACCAAGGCACTAAACATTTATAAAAAATAAAAATCAAAATAAAAAAATCAAAAGCAATACGTACAAGTTATATGATGATTTCCTCTAGAAAATCCAAAACCCAGACTAACTTTGATTTTGCAGGCATGAAATTGTAGGGGAAGTGACAGAGGTAGGCAGCAAGGTAAAAAAGGTAAAGGTCGGAGACAAAGTGGGTGTGGGATGCCTTATTGGAGCATGTCGCTCCTGCGAGAACTGTGTCGATGACCTTGAGAATTACTGTCCTAATCTGATCATGACCTACAATAGCCCTTATTATGATGGAACAAAGACATATGGAGGCTTCTCCGATTCTATGGTTGTCAATGAACACTTCATTGTTCGTTTCCCTGATAGCATCCCCCTTGATGCTGCTTCTCCATTGCTCTGTGCTGGAATTACAGTTTACAGTCCATTGAAATATTATGGACTTGGTGAACCTGGAAAGCATGTAGGCATTGTTGGACTTGGTGGTCTTGGTCATCTTGCTGTTAAATTTGCCAAGGCTTTGGGATGCAAAGTGACTGCCATCAGCACCTCCCCTAACAAGAAGAATGAAGCTCTGGAGAATCTTGGTGCTGACTCGTTTTTGGTTAGCAGTGACACAGACCAAATCCAGGTACTTAGCTAGACTATTGAGATTCAAATTATTGCTCCCACTCTCACACATGCATTTTATTTAAAATTCTAAACCATTAACTAATTTTGATGGCAAAACACTAATCAAACCAAGAAAATTCAGTTGATTAACAGATTACCTGGGTAATTGTTTTTGGGATTAATTGAGCAGGCGGCCATGGGTACAATGGATGGAATATTGGACACAGTCTCTGCTGTTCATCCTATTTTGCCACTGCTTGGTCTACTCAAATCCCATGGAAAACTTGTTTTGCTGGGTGTACCTAATAAGCCATATGAGCTCCCTGCATTTCCTCTGGTTATGGGTAAGTTTACATGAAGCTAGCAATCAGCTTTTAATATAGAGGCTGAAATTAACAAGTTACCTTGTAAAACAGGAAGGAAGACTTTGGCTGGGAGCGGCATTGGAGGGATGAAGGAGACACAGGATATGATAGATTTTGCAGCAGAACACAACATTACAGCAGACATTGAGTTGATCCCCATGGATTATGTGAACACTGCTATGGAGAGACTCGACAAAGGTGATGTTAGGTACCGGTTTGTCATCGACGTCGGAAACACTTTGGCCGCCACCAAGCTTTGAGCTTAAACACCAAGAACTGAATAAAAGTGGCAACGAATGAACTTCACTATTGAATAAAAGTGGAAACAAAAGTCTTACTAATGGTTAATGAATAAAACACTGAAGTTGGGCTCTTGTGAACTGGAAAAAATGAATTTTGAATAGAAGTACCTTGTTCAGAATTTTTTTTTTTATTGGGAAATGATTTATTAACAACAAAAAAATATAATGACACAAATTTTAAAATAATAATCAGTACATCTTTTGTTCAATATACTTCAAAATATATTTTATAATACATTTATTAAAAATTTATTATTTTTAAATTTAAATTAAAGATAAAAAAACTAAAAATTATAGATTTTAATACCTAAACCGATAGGTATTACAAGATATATTAAATTAAAATGATATATTAATCATTTTCTCAATTTTTTTTTTAATTTAGTGCGCGATGCATGAATGAAAGATTCTAAGGCTTAATTTGCCATTGTTATGAAATAATGCGATTGTAGCTTTTTAAGTACTTTACAATCACAAAAACTATGTCATTGTTTTACAATTGTTTTGTAAAGAGTAATATACATCAATACTATTATTAAATTATATAAAATATTAATTAAAATTAATTTATTTTTTTTATCAACAAATTAAAATAATATATTAATATGAGTACAAGGGGTACTCCAACCCATTTATATAATAAAAGACTCAACCATCATAATAATAAGGAGATAGCAAAACTGGCAACATTTATAATAAAAACACATCAGCCTAAAGCAATCAAGCCTCCACTGATTAACACTTTTAATGATATGTTATGTAAAAAAACCAGCGAAATCACAATATGAACACAACCTCAATACACTTTTGCTCTTTAATGTCATCTAAATATTATACTATGAATTTTTCGTTATACACAAATCTTTCATGAAATATTCCTTTTATAGCAATCTAGCCTAAACATTATCGAGTAAGAAAATTTCACGTTAATTATATAATAAAAAAGTATGTGAATTAAATATCAAAAGAGTTATTTTATTTATTATCATTTGGTTTTAATTTAGATGCAAACTTTGTATTAAAATTCACATACATAATTTTCACAAACATGATCTACCTCAAGTCCATTTATCTTTTAAGTATTGGATAAAAATTTTCTTTTTTAATTTTATCCCAACTAAAAATTGCTCCACGTTTAAAAAGAAAACATTTAAAACTTCCTAATTTCCTTTATTAATAAAAATAAACATAAAATTTTAATGAGCAGTAAATGTGCTTTTATAAATTTTGATAATTTTCTCAATTACAATCTCATGTAACAAGTAAAATGAATTACACGTACGATAGTATGAAAACCAGACTATTCTGTAAAAAAAAAAAAAAAACAGAAACAGACTGCACCGTGTCTTTTTAACCCACTGAAATCGACTTTCAGAAATTCAAAACTTTTCTTCTCTGCCAAGATTTCCAGAATCTTTTAGTTTGAGACTTGAGAGCAATTCAAGCATCTTTAACTTTTTACTAGAATAGAAAATAAAAAAAAAAAGTCGCTAGCAGAAAGTAGAAAAATTGCCACTTTTACACACAAACAAAAAATTAAAAAAACTATTTTACCATTTATATTGTTTTAAATTATATAATATTAATTATTAAATCAAATTCAAATCCTTTTGATAATTTTTTATTAATTTAAAATTTTTATTTTACCATTTAAAAGGTAAAACAAACTTATTTATTAAAAAATGTTTTCCATGAGTGGAAGTAATTATGTGCTAAGCCGCCCACTAACTCAATTAGCTCACCCTCTACGTCACCCGGCCTTTCCCCCTCGCGAATTAGCTCACTCTCTTCGTCATCAAACCCACTCCACCGCCCCGCCAATATTTAACTCATTCTCAATGCTACTCAACTTGTTTCCCTTTCCTATAAAATATAAGTCATCTCCTCCATGACGCTCCCACACATCCATTACCAGCTACCTCATACACGTTGACTGCATTCTTCGTACCGTCCTTGATTTGTACCTTAGCGCTCAACAGAGATTCAACATAATGGACACACCCTCAGCAGCGAATGACCACCCCAGGAAGGCTTTCGGTTGGGCGGCTAGAGACCCCTCCGGTGTCCTTTCTCCTTTCAACTTCTCCAGAAGGTTCTATCCATACTCCAATCTCCAATGCTTCCTTTTGTGCGAAATAAATTCTTGGTTTGATTTATTAAACCCGATTTCTGTGTGTTTGCAGGGCACCTGGAGAGAAAGACGTGGCTTTCAAGGTCCTGTACTGTGGGATTTGCCACACTGATCTTCACATGGTAAAGAATGAATTTGACCTAACAGTGTATCCTGTTGTACCTGGGTACGTTTCCATAGTTCCATTCTTCTAATTAACTTGTTCCATCTTAATTAGTGTTCAAAATTGGAGGAAGTCAGAAGAACTTTTAGAGACTGTTAAATTTTTTAGTTATAAATTTTGTAGATCAAAATAGTGTTTTAGAGGAATTGTTTGTACATTAAAAGTCTGAGTCATAAATTTATTCAAATATTTTTAATATTAATTTTATTAAAAATATTTTAATAACTTATAAAGTATACTATACCTTTTTTTTAATATATAGTGCACTCTGTAAAGCACAAATCCATTTGTAGCTTTTGCTTGTTTTCAATTACTACACCCATTTAACATTCATATAAATAACTGGAATTGCATAATGTAGACATGAGATTGTTGGTGAAGTGACAGAGGTGGGGAACAAGGTGACCAAGTTCAAAGTTGGAGACAGAGTAGGAGTGGGGTGCTTGGTCGGATCATGCAGCTCCTGCGACAATTGCAACAACAATGTTGAGATCTACTGCCCTAAAATGATATTGACCTATGGTTCCAAGTACCATGATGGAACCATGACATATGGAGGTTATTCAGATACCATGGTAGCGGACGAGCACTTTATAGTCCGCATTCCAGATAACCTGCCACTTGATGCTGCTGCTCCCCTTCTTTGTGCTGGGATTACAGTGTATAGTCCACTGAGATACTATGGACTTGATAAGCCTGGCGCCCATCTAGGTGTGGTTGGCCTAGGTGGGCTAGGCCATGTAGGAGTGAAATTTGCTAAGGCTATGGGGGCGAAGGTGACCGTGATCAGCACCTCTCCTAACAAGAAAAATGAAGCTATTGAAAACCTTGGTGCTGATGCATTTTTGGTCAGTAGTAACCAAGATGAGTTGGAGGTACTCAATCTTTAACTCGTTGGTTTGGTTTGAAATTAATTTTAAGTGTTATAGACATATATATTGCTTGTGTTATGATTCTAATGTCTTTATATTTTCATTTCAGGCTGCCATGGGCACCTTGGACGGTATCATAGATACAGTCTCTGCACAACACCCCCTGCTTCCATTGATTAATCTCTTGAAATCTCATGGAAAGCTTGTGTTGGTTGGTGCTCCAAAGATGCCACTTGAACTACCAGTCTTTCCTTTGATTTTGGGTAAGCAGATTTAGAAATCAATTCACTATTCATTGCAAAAACTATACTAGAATTTCCAATGATACTTTTTTTGATCAATATGTGATGTTTAAAACTAGAAGCTGACATGTATAATTACGGATGACAGGGAGGAAGTTAGTGGGTGGAAGTAGCATAGGAGGATTGAAGGAGACACAAGAGATGATTGATTTTGCTGCTAAACACAACATCACTGCAGATATTGAAGTTATACCAATCGACTATGTGAACACTGCCATGGAGCGCCTGTCAAAAGCAGATGTCAAATACAGATTTGTAATCGACATTGCCAACACAATGAAAGTCAGCTCTTGAATTTCGATGCCTTTTCGCAGCATTGGGTTGTTATGTTCTTCTACTTCTGTTGTCTTTGACTCTTTCTATTGAGTTTTGTAATATAAAGAAATGTCTTCTGAGAGATGGCTTTCCATTTTTTTTCGCCAACGGAATAATATATTGTGATATATTGCCTTGGAATATAGATTTTAAATTCAGAAAAATGAGGCGTAGTTTGCCCGAGCATTTTATAAGGATGTTGATCAGAATACATGTAAATTTAATATATTATATAATAGATTTATTTAAAAATTATTTTTATATTATAATTATAATTAAATAAATTTAAAAATATAATGATGTATACATGATATAAAAATTATTAAATGAATCATATTTATATTATATTTTAACAATTAAATTAAAATAAATATTAAAAATATATTAAAATAAATATCTATATCAATTATTTTTATCATATAATTATTATAGATAATAAATTATTTTTTTATCAATAATTATAAAATATGCAGATAAATATCTATATCAATTATTTTTATCATATAATTATTATAGATAATAAATTATTTTTTTATCAATAATTATAAAATATGCAGTTTACTAACATAATTGATATTCTTATGGAAATTTTCAAATTTATGAAACTCGCTTACCATGAAATTTTTTTTGGGTGAAAACTTACCAGAAATTTTAACTTAAAAAATATATATTTGCCAGCCGAGTTAAACTTGCCCAAATAGAAACTGGATCGACGCAGGACTAAGCTCTGATCGGCTTGCCATGGTTCTAAGCCATGCTCCATATATACCCTGCCTTACTAGATTTTAATTTATTTAAATTGCATTAATTAAGGCGAAAGTAGACACAATCGTTGTAAAAGTTTTTGGAAGGGGCATTATTAACAACATGAATTTGAGGTTCTTAAAATAGGAGATCAACAGTTCCTGCAAACTAGAACCCAAATGTTTAGGTTATTTTGATTTTAAAAAAGAAATTTTAGCTTTTAAAGATATTTTTTTTATTATAAATAGACCTGACAAACAGGTTGGATTGGATGGGTTTGAATTAAGTTATCTCGAATCTCAAGTTTTTTTGATTGGATCATTTCGGATGTCGGGTTAAAAGGGTAAACTTATTATAATTCACCCATACGGGTCTCATATTGGGTCGGATAGATCCAATTTTTTAAAAGATTAAAATTAAAATTAAAATTTTTTCAAAATTTTCTCTATTTTTCTTTAAAAAAATCTAATGTTAATTAAGTATATAGTCAAAAAAATCTATTAAATAAATACTAATTCTAATTTTCATTTTATGATGCAATTTTTATTCCAATTTCATGGAAAAAAGTTGGCAAGATTATTGAATTACATAAATGGAACTAAAATATATATCAAATAAATAATGTCCATACAATATTTATAAAATTGTATTAATCTCTATTAAAAGAAGAGACATGAAGGATTTAGAGTTGAAAAGGCAAAACAAACAAATATGTTAATATCTAGTATTTATTTAACATTTATAAGGGTCTTATACAATAAATACAACCCTATTCAACATTTAGAAGGGCATTATACAAAAAATACTATGATATTCAATATTAGAGTTCAAAAGGTAGTTAGTGCTAGTTTAATAGTTAAAAGGGTATCATAAAAAAAAAAATAGTTCTATTCAATATTTAGAAGGCATCATGCAAAAAATACACCCCTATTGCCTATTAACAAGGTCAAGAACTAGATCCCCTTAGATTTGCAAGTCTAGTGGTTGTGTCAATGCCAACATCCAATTGAAACTCCAATCCCGCCATTCTATCTTTTTCTGGATCCTCAATTGCATCTAGTAATTTATGTTACCAAGAAATTAACTTAATAAAGTAAATATTAAAATATATATAAGTATATATATTATATATATGAAAAAGAATAAAAATAAAGAATGTATATTACCTCCAACTAACCAACTTCGAGTTATTATCAAAGGTTCTACATTTTCAGATGTTAGACTACCTCTCAATTTGGTTAAAACTCTACCACCTATGCTGAAAGTGAATTCAGAAGCTACAGTAGTAATAGGTATTGATAAAATATCCTTTGCCATATCAGCAAATCTTGGATATTGATATTCATTTTTTCTCCACCAATCAAGAATATCCAATGGCTCTGAACGAGGCAATCTCCTCTCTTTCAAGTACCTATGTAACTTTGATCCATATCTACTCAATTTATTTGGTTCAAATTCATCAAAATCCTACAAAATATAAATCAATAAATTTTAGTAGAAGTCATCTTATTTTTCTCTCTACATTAAGTTTGTATTCCCTTTCCCTCCTCCATTCTTATCCATCCTTATCAAGAATATGTTATATTAAAAAATATATATATTTCACCATGAAAAAATAGCATAAGAATTTTTAAAGACATTATAATATGATATTCTTAAAACCAAATAAACAAATTGATTAAATAGTCACTTTTCCAACAAGAATGAAAGGAAAAAAAATCAGTAATAAGGACATATGATCTATATGATAAAGAAAAATAATTAAAAGATAAAAAAGGTTGACATGCTCACCTCATCATGGACTAAAGGACTTCTTAAATTGACAGCACCATGAAAGACAATTCCTATAGCTTCAACATGCTTGTCTTCATTGTGTGAATATTCATTGTAAAGACTTTTCAAACAAATTTTGACATTCTCATACTTTGCCAAGTGTGTTGTCTCATCCAATTTCATGCAACAATATTTTACATAATCCAATTTGAAGCGAGGATCAAGAATTATAGCAAAAGCAAGCACCAAACTAGAACAATCCCAACACTCATCAAATTTAATCTTCATATTTTTTGCCATTGCCCTCACACACGGATCATGACTTCCCATCTCTGCTTGTACAGTCAATTCAATAGCCCAAACATGTTTGCAAAACAAGTTTGCTGTAGGATATTGGGGACCAAAAAAAATAGTGGTTATCTCACTAAATGGCTCAAAAAGTTGACAAATATGCTGCACTCTAATCCATTCATGAGCTTCTAAGGACCAAACATAGTTCCTATCCTTCAATGCAAAGTTAATAAAGGCTTGTCGATATAAAAGTGCCCTTTCCAACATAGTATAAGTAGAATTCCATATAATTGGTCAACCTAACCACAAGCCTTTACTCATATTATAGCCCACACGCTTTGCACAATCCCGAAAACTTATCTTTCTTCCCTCAAATTTAGTTATATATTTAATACCCTCCCTCAACTTCTTGACACTCTCATCAATCACTTTTAGACCTTCTTGGACAATCAAATTTAACATATGAGCACAACAACAGATATGAAAAAAAATCTCCATTGCAAGGTAATGGATATTCCAAATTTAGGGTATTGCATAAAAGATCTTGCTTATTGTCATTGCACCTTGCATTATCTAAAGGGATAGAAAATACTTTATCTTGAATACCTCATGCTTTAAGCAAGTCAAAAACAGTATTATGTAAAATCCTAGCTAAATGTGGGGGAGGGACATGACAAAAGCTCAAAATCCTACTTTGCAAAATCCAATTCTCATCTATGTAATGTGAAGTGAGGCAAAGGTAACCTTGAGTTACT